CGAATGAAATCATTCTTTGCAGAGGTTAATTCCTTAGAATTTTCAAAGCCGGCGTTAAGGTGAGAGCAGTTGAGGCCGCTAATGAGTGAAAACTCCCTCAAGGAGTACCTGACAGGAACTCCTTTGAAAACGAACCACATCTCTCCTTTCCTCTTTATTTTGGCTTCCCTCGCAATGAGTTGCCATAGGAACAGAGGAGGAGGAATACACTCAACATCCAAAAAATGAGAAAAAGGGGTGCTCTCCCTAAACAAATCAAGAACTTCTGGATGATCTCCAAGTCCTTCGCCCATCAGATTCTGGAACTCCCCCAAAGAAGATTTCAGGGTTAACTTCATTCCAGGTATTTTATCAATATCAATGGTGCAAGCCAACGCTGGAACCTAGAATTAAAATCAAGAACTAATCAAAAAATAGATTCGACTGCATTCGACTGTTAACCAATTACTGTAACATTATATTGATTATTTCCATGGTCGAATAACTTGTTCTGTTTCCGAATGTTTCAAAAAACAAACAAAATACTTTAAATGTTATATTTTAGTGTACATGCAATGCACCTCAATTTCCGAAGCATCCAGGAACGATTGACCCTCCACAGATGGAGTTACCTCAGCAGAAATCTGACACCAATCCCAAATATTTCAAAATAAAACAAAAATTAGTTAATTTTAAGTAAGAAATATTTGAAAATACCTGGTTTTCATTCTCCATCTCCTCCCTTTGTGTTTGGGTTAGAATTCTTCTTCTCTTGTACTGGAACCCGCTACTTGCTCCGGTGTTCTCCATGGCAAAGAGATGTGTGGTAGTTCTTGAAGGTATCCGAAGACGGTAAGCAATGTAGAACGAAGAGCAGAAGAGTTTCGATTGATGAAGGCGTATCGTTTCCGAAGACTGGTCGGGGGATTAAGGAGGGGTTGGGGCTTCAAACGACGTCGTTTGGCCTTTCTAAAAATCATCGTGACGCTTCGAAGGCAACCTAACGGCTGGTCGTTAATCTTAATATTTCCGTTTAATTTTTGAAGTAACGGTAATAAACAGTGACGTTTTGTTTCTTCGTTGGAAGGGCCTTTATGTCATTTTCTCTCATTTTACGCAAGTAGAGCGGACGCGCCTCACACGAATCTCTGTTAGATATAGGAGGGCATTCTCATAAATTCCAACCTTTTTCTGCCCTTTTCCATAAATTTTTCCCCCAATCCCTCATTAACCACGCACCCTCTTCCTTCCTGTCTACAATCTGCATCCACATCAGCGACCTCATCACCCACCGGAGATCAGCTCCCCGACGCGACGACCGGAGGCAGCTAGGGAGACACCGGGGATCTCAACGCGAAGGCATCACCTATCTGTCGCGCAGCGAGAAAAGTGTACATATTATCACACTAGTCAGCAGTATTTTCTAGGAATCGGGGCTGAGAAAAATCCATCATTTACCTAGAAGAGTGTGTGGGAGGCAAAAGGTGCGATCCAGGTGATATGATCACTCAATTTAATTTTCTCACGCTTCCTGCAATTTGCTCGAATCTTTTATCTGAATTGCAAGCCTACTTTGATATGGATATATAAGGAATTGTTGATGTGCTTGATGTTGTTAATCTGTCATGGTAGATGCTAATTCGATTTGTGTTCTCAGATGGCGAACGTATCTCAGATCCGCCCTAACAACTCAGCACTTATTGCAATGATTGCTGATGAGGTAAAAAGACCGTTACTTTCTGTATACTCTGCAAGTATTTAGTTTAAATAGATTAAAATGGCCCTAAACTGGCAAGGAGCTTGGTTCCTTATGTAAGGTTTTAATCTTTTGGGTTTGAACCTCTAATGGAGCATGCTTTAGTAGAACTCCTATAGCTCTCAAAATGTAGTCTACTGTCCCACTCTTGATTAATTGGTGGCTATCAACCAGTAATAGGGGTCAAGCAAATACTCCGTAATTAGGATTATAATGTTCGTAAATCATTCTTTCTATGCTCCTCCCTTTGTCCTGCTATTTTTGGGACAACAGGAAAATGATAGTATGATACGCAAATTAAGCGGAATAGTGTGGTTGATATTAAAGTTAATGCATAAAAAGGTAAGAATAAATGTAAGTCACACAAATGCTATGAAGTACTAAATATCCACTCAATTTTTTGACACCGTCCTTGGTGTCGTATGATGGCACCGAACCATTTAGAATCCTACGGTGTCCTGTTGGGTCAGGCACCGTGTCCTACCCTACAAACCCCTTTTCCCCCACCTCTAGCCCCAGCTCCCCCTGCCTGATACTGTAGCAACTCTGCGTCAAGCAGGCACCGAGGTTGTGGGCCTTGGTGGGGATGGGGTGGGGGGGGTTAGAGGTAACAGGACCTGGTCCTGGACTCAAAAAAGCACCGTAAGGCCCCAGTACCATATTATGACACCAAAGTTCAATGTCAAAAGAACCGTGGTGAAGGTAAAAAGGAACATAAATAGTGATACAGTGAGTGTAACTTATTAGAATACTTGGGTAGCATCATGGTTGTTGTACTGGCCACCAACTTTGGATTGTGTGCTTATTTTAACTGTAGTATTGGGAAACTCAAATGCCAGAAAGCATAGTACTCCCTTCGTCCCTAAAGTTCCCGCGACTGCTGAAAAAGCAAATGTTGTAAATATTTTGGGATGGAGGGAGTATAATGTTCTGGTGAATGCCTGACCGGTATTTGTACCCCTCATAAACTGTTCATTTTTTTGTTTTTTAATCACATGACCTGCCTTTACTTGTTTTATATGCATTTTATCCTGTGAATTAAGTTTCAGCTTTACAAGACATGGTGCTTCGCCAGAATATCCAGAAATTAATTCAAAAATTTCTCAAACGTTAATTAGGTGTTACTTTTCATGGAGTTAGTCTAGCACGAATACCTTTGATTTCCGAGTGATATTGAAATAATTGACCAAGTCCCCATATTTGATTTTTCTGAAGAAAATGTCTTTCGTGACATTCATTTCATCCAAATAAGTTATTGAAAAGCTGTGTGTTCTGCCGAGAAGTAGAATAAAAAAGTAAGTTAGACAAGACTATCATATGGAACCTAATACTCTGTATGTGATTAATTTCATGATTAGCTATTACAGGATATAGATCATATTAGTAACTTCTATAGTTTTTGTTAGTAATTTAGAGATCAGATATTCAGATGTAATTTTGATGATATTAACACTTGTTCCATGAATGAACGAACTCAAGGAAGCACTCATGTCTTTGTTTTTTCTCATAATAATGAGTTTGTGCTCATGAAATATACTTATTTTGTCCTCATGAAATGTAGTTTTTTTGCCATCATGAAATGTACTTTTTTAAATGTCCTCATGAAATGTATTTTCTTGGTCTTCATAAAATGTACTTTTGTTTAAGGTGATTTTTAAAAACTGATTTTGATAATACTAGTATTTATAAAAAGCAATTCACTATTATATAAACAAACTATTTAACATTTGCCAAAGCTTTATCGAAAATTATTTTAATTATTGGAGAAGTAAATGTAATGGTTTACAAATAAATGGGGAATATAATTTAATATCACGAGAAAGGAATAAAAAAGGAATTTTAATCATGATGCTTAGTTTGCTGGGTTTCAATTGCTAAGACTTCTTAATCCAGTATTTGTTCAACATTAGACATGAAAATGAATATCACCACGACCAAAAAGCTCGTGCATCATGAATATAATAAAAAAAGTCTACTGCCCCATTCTTCTCAATCTAAATGAAATTTTAAATATTGTTGGGAAGTTGGGGATTTTGAATTCCTCAAAGATAAGCAATTGAAATTTGTTGGGATATAAACTCCCACCAACCGAGACATGATGTTAAGTAGGAAATGTATGTTTTCCTTCCAGCGAGACATGTTAAGTGGAATATAAATTTCTTGGAATAAAAACTCAAAAATAATTTGTGGAAATGTATTTCTTTCCCTCCAGCAAGACATGATGTTAAGTGCTTTTGAAATATCCAAAAGTGGCGTGGTCAAAAAGGCAGGAAGGACCTTTACACTATGTTTGGTTCAAGGAATTTGGAAGGAAAAGAAAAGAAAATGGTTTTCTCACATTTTCCTCACCAAAATGGAAGGAATTTGGTTTTCCCTCCACTTGGTAGATTTTGCCTTCTCATTTTCTTTTCCTTCCACTTTTCCTTTCTTTTCCCCTCTAACCAAACAAGAAAAACAATTTTCCACTTCATTTTCTTTTCTTTTCTCTTTTAAATTCCTTGAACCAAACATAGTGTTAGTGCTTTTTTTGTAATACTACCTCCGTCCCAGTGTATTTGTTCAATTTGACTTTTTTGACTTTGTCGAGTAAAAAAAATGAACCTTGGACCTCAATTTAATAAGAAATGTGATGTATATTATTATAAAAATGATTTCATGAGATTTATCTTATAGATAATTTTCAAAATTTTATTTAATTATATTAATATGCAATAGGAATTTAAAGTAATTGAAGATTAAAATTCATCTTGTTTTAACTCAAAAAATCAAATTGGAAAAAATCAAACTGGAGAAATATTTTCTCCTCATTTTGTTTTGGGGATTCGAGGTGATACTATTGGATGTATTAAATAAAAACATGTGGGTAGATTGAAACTACAATCCAAGTTTTGACAAATCTGTTCGTTCTAGAGAAATTAAAGAATTTTTTAAGCAGTTCCTTTTTAATGAAGCTTTCTTGTAATCTGGACAAACCTATAAAAATGTGATGTAATAATGCAATATTTGTCAAACATCCTCTAACCCTCTAACCTACACCTTTCCAAGATCCAACTTTGGCATTTTTTCCTTGCATATATATATATAACACAACTACTTTGTGAATTGTCTGAAACATAATTTCACATGACTACAAACTTGCAGTTTGGCATGGCTTAATTAAGTGTAATTCCGCGTACAATGCAGTCAAATTTATTTCTATTATAAATCACATGCTTTGATTATATTTTTAGTGCATTTAGTCATGTCTTACCAAACTACACCAAGGTGCATGAGTTTGTTTCCATGTGATATGATGTGTGTTTTTCGTTTTCTAAGTACATATGAATATAGGATACAATTACTGGATTTTTATTGGCTGGAGTTGGCAATGTGGACCTGAGGAGGAAAACAAACTACCTTATTGTGGATTCAAGTAAGTTTTAATTTTGAATTGATATTTAAGTGCCATAAACAAGACAATCTAATACACTTTGTTTCTCTAATACACTTTGTTTTCATGGGTATGTTTTAGAAACCACGGCGAAACAGATTGAAGATGCTTTCAAAGAGTTCACTACAAGAGAGGACATTGCGATTGTGTTAATTAGCCAATATGTAAGTATTCTTTTATTTTCTGAAAATTACTATTCCATTGTTGAACTTCTGTTCTTTACATGATCTGTGAACATATCAAGTACTCCGTATATAATAATATATGCCTGTTTTCTTGAGCTGATGGATTGATGCTTCTCCAATTGAAACAATGTTCAGGTTGCCAACATGATAAGATTTTTGGTGGATGGTTATAACA